AATCTTTTTAATGCTTTAGGTGTTGAAATCCTTATCCTCTGTCCAGAGTTCTCACATGGATGCTCTCCATGTGAGAGCATGGCTACTTTGGAGAGGAAGCAGGGAAAATCAGCAAGGACATTGGACAGAAGGTAGTACCACAGGTCTCTAGTATCTCAAGTGAGTAACTTGAAAACAGGTTTGAAAGGCAGAACGCACCAGGGAATAGGCAGAAATTTGGCTCCTTGCTGCCAGAGCTTTTTTTATACCTTTTTGGTTGTGAGCTTGTCCCACATGAGCACAAGATGGAGGCTAGAAACGAAAACATCCAGCTTCTGATGTGTTTCAGAAGAACTGGTTGTTGTTTCAACTCTAGAGCTATTGGAGCTACTCCAGTCTTTCTTGGAGTTGCTTATCATTTTGGTAGGAAAGGTGTGTGCAGCTGTGAGTGATTCTGGAGATGGCCCAGGCTAAAATCAAGGCATATTTCATTGCACGTTTCCCAAAAAGTCATTACTTCCACTAATGGTGGCAACAGTAGATTAGCAAAGTGCTGGCATCAAATTCTGGAATTTTTCTTCCCCCAAGAGGAAGAAAATGGTTTTTGACCCTCTTCGTTGATATATGGGGAAGAGATCCTAGAAATGTAACAAGCTGCCTTCCTACCTGTATTTTAGGACTTCTGGGATGTAAGTGCCTTTGGGAAAAGACCAGGCTGCTACAATATGAGCCTGAACCTGCTGTGGTGTGTTCCCATTGTAATGCTCAAGCTATAGTTTTCAGTTAAGAAACTAGCAACGCTTATTTAAAAGAAAATATTCTTTTAGTAATGATCAATAATTAAATATTAATAATTTGTCATCAAAAGGTTCTGATGCTCTTAGCTGCCACCATTGCCTTTAGCATTCAAAGTGCTGTATGTATGAAGGTACTGTTTTTGAATGTTGGAAGACTTAAGGTTCTTCAGCAAGGTTGGGAATGCTGCACAAAAATATTTAGATTCCCAGCCCTGATTTTAATGTACACTTTGCTTTTTTAAAGTAACGTTCTGCTTGATAGTATCTAGAGTAGTTTGAAATTCAAGGCCAGAAGTTATCCGCAAAGCCCCACGTTTTCAGTATTTTAAGGGTATAGCAGCATGCTTTTCAAGAAAAATTCTGGGTACTTGATATTGCCTAAATACCTGGGTTATGCTGATGCTAATGAACACTCGTCTCCAAGAATCTTGGCCTGTGTTTCTCAGTCTTCAGTTAAGTACAGTGACTCATAGATCCTTCTTTCCTTGGCAGTATTGTCCTTGCAACATTCCTGGAGAATGAAAAAGTGTCCATATCAGTTGTCTTGGGCCATGCTGTCCAGGAGGTCGAAATATTGAAAGAAGGCGATGATGAAATGAAGCAACGTCTTTCTTGCATATTTGCACCTGAAGAAAGCAAAGCCTACAGCCCAGAGGAACTTGAAAAGAGGAAGAACAACTTGAAGACTTGGCTAGAAACAAACCACATCCCTGTAACAGAGCAAGGTGAATCAGGAAGAACGCTATGCGTGGCAGGGGTATTAACTATTGACCCACCATACGGCCCAGAAGAGTGCAGCAGCTCCAATGAGATTATTCTGTCTCGGGTTCAAGGCTTGATACAGGGCTATCTTGAAAAACAACAGTGATGCCCGCTGTTTAAAGCGGTTGTCTTTAGGAATGGCTCTACCCGCCCTATTTTAGGAACTGTCCTGGGTATCGATATTCACTATTTACAAAAATGCTGGGTTTAGGTACTTTTGTCTGATTTTTATATGTTAAGAAAGGGATAAAACAAGCAGTATAAACTAAAAGCATGAAGCATTTTCCATGCGCTATTTTTTATTAAAAGCAAGCCATTGGATAATGATGATGTATTACACTGATATATCAGTTTACTGTATCAGTATTAAGCTGATATACCAGTTTAATAAGTATTTTTTGTAACAGTATTGTGAAAGATGATATATGATAAATTTTTTTAATCAGTTTTCCTCTGCCTTTAAAATTAATTTTAATTGATTATCTAGTGGTGTAGGCATGTTTACTTGAACTGCTTACCAGAATTTTTTTTTTTCAGAAAGAGAATTGTGACACTTGGACTTTCCAAACCAGATGAAAAAATTGTTCAGAAAGCTTTTTTTCTTCCTCCCACAACTGTTCTCCTGTTTTAGAATATGAATTATAATGTAGGTCCAAGTTTGTAAAATTATTAAGGAAAGTTAGCAGGCAAATAGATTTAAAAACATTTCCTATCTATATCTTTTATTTTAGAGCAGCAATGATTGGAAGACCTTTGCTCTTTGGAAAGATAATTTCTTGCAATTCAGTAAGTTTGTGTTTCTTTTTAGCTTATGGCAACACACAATGCAAGAATCATTGTGATTATTCCTAGATTATTAATCCAGTCAGGAGACTTTAGAGCCCTCATTTCTCTCTTTGTGTATTGATTTGTTCTGTCTTCTTATGAGATAGCACCAGAACACGTTAGTGTGCTCAAATGCATTTGACAAGTCTGTCTAACCCTTGTTATTAAAAGGCCC